GTAGTTACTGCAAAAAGCAACTACAAGAGGTAGGATCATCTCCTGAAATTCAAGGACTGGCTTAGTTACCATATGTACTGTTGTTGGGACCATGGGTAAGATGTTCATCCTTTCTGACCATCACCCAAACATCTGAAGGTTGTTATTGTGATAAAATAATATTAACTAATATTATGATAGTCCTTTTTATAAACCATAGAGTGTTTTAAAAACAATTATACATAAGTGTAGGCCTCCTTACAGATTTAGCTAATTCATACTCTGATGTCAAGCAAAAGTGTAATAAAATCTTCACCTCTATTTTAAAAGAATCTGTTTCTAAAAAGCTCAAATTCCCTTGGAAAAACTTTGCAATGCTTAGAGCCCTGATAAAAATTCTTTCTGTAAGTATACCGAATCCTTCAGATTGTGAATCCTCCTATTCTTTTTTTGGTTTTCTATAGAGGTAATATGACTACCATTGTAGTTTTAAGATAATCATTTGCTGTTTTGAAAATTTTAACTTTTTTTTTCTCATCTACTTGTGTAACGACAGTTTTTCTAATATCAACAGGGTCGTTTCACTTCTTTTCAAGGTACAGAGCTAGTTGTCTCTAAATACTGAGAACTATGATTGGATTAATAGATTTCTGATTATTATCTCGGCATCAATACTTTAAATCATGAATGGTAAAAATCATTAATTAAAAGATTCAAACTTCTAATTAAACTCTTCAGACAAATTACATTCTTAGAGTAAATGGGACTAAGGCAAAGGTAATATAAATTCTTTTAATTTCATTTTTAATTTTATGGAGTTCAAAGTTCTTTGCATTAGTTTATTATAATCATCTTCTTACAAGCAGATATTCTCTTTTACTAATAAAATAAATAAATATTCAAGGAGACTGAGAGTAAAAAATGAAATAAGCATTCTTGAAGCCAATTAAAAATCTAGAATACAAATCTGATTCACAATCCAAAGCCATTCACAGTCCAAAGCCATTCCAACTGCACACGATTTCATTTCTTTTCCTAGATATGGTTTAAAAAACATATATGGATGGTTCAGACAAAAGTTTGTAGCATCTATTTCATATTCTCAAGTAATCTTCTCTGGAATATCAGACAACTATTACTGTTCTACTGAAAGAGAAACAAGTAATTTTTATTTTTAAGATGGTAGCCATGTGTGAAAACAAAGCACAGCCTTGTTGATGGCAAAGGTTTCTTTCTCCTCTCTTCTTACTTTCCATCATTCTCACTTTGTTTCTCTCCTTTCTTTTTGTATTTTTCCAATTTCATTATCCATTACATGGTCATCACTTATTCTACCCTATTTCATTATTGTTGCAATATTGTTTTTCTTTGCGGTTAAAAGAAAGCAAAATGGATTCCAACCTATGGAAAGCTGAGACAAGATTTTGATTGGGTTCTTATGGCTATGAACCCATCTCCAGGTAGAACAGCAACCCTGAGGTGTGGAACAGCAAAAACAGGCATAGTTTCTGCTTTCTTCCCTGCATGTACTGCCCTGGATAAATCTCAGACCTTGCATACGTGGTAGTTTCTTTACTGAATCAGTATTTCAGCTGAAGCTGCTAACAATTGATACTTGTCAGACTTTGGCTTAACGTGAACCCAGTGGAGAAAATACATGATGAGGCACACTGTGTTTGCGAGAACTTGACCATGACAGTAAGGTGAAGAAGCTACAAATTGAGGTCAGGAAAGGGAATGAATATGGCAACATGGAAGAAAAAAAATTCCTTAGCCTTATATAAGAATATTTTATGAAATGAATATTCAGTTTCCTGTTATTTACAGTATATTTAACATTTTATTTCTGTAGAGAATTACTTTTCTTTTGATAATTAGAATAATATTTTTCTCATTGTATGCTAAGAAGAGAATTTACATATAATCTCCTTAGGTGTAAGGAACTGTGTCATATTCATCTTTACAGCTCCAGAAATCTTGCCACATTGCCTAGGTTATATTTAGGCTTGTTCAATTCAACTTAATTCCTAAATATCATCAAAAATTCACTAGAAATGTAAGAATTTTTTTAAATGATTTTTAAGTTCTCAGACTTCTTATAATGGTGTTTCCCAGTTTCCAGCAATCCGTATAATCAGAACTGGTAGAATAAAGTTTACAATTCATTGTAATGTAAATATTTCTCGTTCTATCCAAAATGTACACATATGAAGTAAATGTCTTAATTATGGACATCTGAATATAATACAAAGATAAATTGCACAAGACACTTTTGTATTAAGTAAAAACATATAACTGGTTGTCTACACCAAAGTTACCATAATAACAATTACCTGGATAATTAAAATAAAAATCAAGCTTTCTTTATGCAAACAACAAACATAAATTTAATTTGACTTGTTGCCGCACATATCTGACATTAATCTGTTAAAAAATTCTCTTAAAACTATATATTTACATAAGTTGTATAAATAGGCCCAGTGCTTCATTCTATCTCATGAAATAAAAATATAGCATTGTATCTATGCCACATGACTTAGACACATTTCATTTCTATCGACATTATCATACAACTTACCATATGATGCTATTAAAATTTAATTGTGGATTCCTCCAGACCTATAGCAGGATAATACATTTATAATTATTTTAATAATTGAAATATAGTTTTTATTTTACTGGGCTTATTTATTGTTTTTAGAAATCCACCAAAAGTCTAATTAATCCAGAAATATTTTTAAAAGAGAGTAAAGAAAAGTATTCATAGACTTGTCTTTATAATATGACTGAAAGACTTTGAGAGAAAAGCAGGGGTTAAAAATGATCCACCCACACACCCCTAGATTTTGAGAGGAGGTTCCTTTAATACTTTTTTCTTACTGCAGTATTTGTTGCTTAAGGAAGTCTGTGGGTGGATAAGATGTTATTATCCCTCCTACACAAACCCGTTTTTGTATTTACAACACTAAATCTCCATATATATATATATGTACTTGAAATACCAACTCTTTTCTTTCAACTATTTTCTGAAATTTTTTGAAATTTGGTCCACACATTACCACACATTATCTTCCTATAGGACGCATATATAGGTAATTATAGTTTATCATAAACTTTTTCAACTCTGAGTCTATCCAATAAAGGTTATTTGATGTAGATGCCTTTCCAATTAAACATTTTTGTTTGAAGACAGAATTCCATAAATAGCAGGTCTTAGGTTCAAAACTAATAATACAAAATTATTATTTGTGTTAATGAGTTTTCTTAAGCACTAAAAGAAGATATAGTTACTGAACTGGGAAAAGATTTTTGTTTCATATTGCTCTACAAATTACCTTTATGAATGAATGCACATTTGCAGATCATGTTAGAGACATAGTAAACATGTTTTACCTAAATAAAGTTAGCCCTTTAAATTGTTTCATCTGAATAAATTGATAGTTAAAGATTTTAAAACTCTCTAAAAAATGTATACTAGTAAGTTAATATAAATTTTATGAAACCTTTCTATCCCTTTTATATCATAGCAAAAATGTTCCCTCAAATGCAGTAAACACATGTTCTTATGCAAATGGATTAACCTTATTTTCTAAATAATCAGATCTAATTGTTATTGCTAAGGTAATATTCATTCATTTAAAAATATAGAACAATCTAAAAAAGTAAAAAAATGATGTATTTTACAGTGATTTTGGACTTGGGGTTTAATGATATCATTTATGATGTATAAGTGTTTTTGCAAATAAATTTGTTCACAGCACTAATCAGATCAATGCACTCCAGTTGAGAATTATATTCACCTTCATTAAAATAAATTAGAAAAATAACCATTAAGCATCCAAAGTGCTTGCAAAGATACCCCAATTATTAATTAAGTACACATTATTGAGAATATATCCTATAGCGATCAGTAGTTAGAACAAAATCACTAGCTAGGACTGTTGGATTAACCAAACAATCACAGGTAATTCAATCACTTCTAGTTAATTCAAAAGAAACTGATTCTGGCTCCTCTGATACCCTGGTCATAGATACTCCATCAGAACACAGAGGCAAGTCCGTCCTCTGTATAGCACAGGTAGTGAGTCAAATATATTTCATGTACAATTCAATGACTATGTGAAATGGAATTGTCCAGGTCATTCTAAAACTAGGTTTTTTGGTTCAAGTTATTAAGCTTTTTTGGCAACTTGTAATACAATAAAAATTTTAAAGATAATTAAAACCATTATCATTGCAGAGCAAAGTAACACAAAGACTGAAATAAAAGTAATTCAATTAAAACTGTTTGTCTTCTGATTTAAAAAAGTTTATGTTACTAGAAGTAAATACTCATTACCACAACTTTCAGAACAACTATTTTAAAAAATACAATTCAGAAATAAATGGGTTATATGCTTGTTTTTTTCTAAAGCAATTATTTTTTGAGAACTTGATTTTTTTCCAAGTTACTATAAAGCACCTGTAATTGAAAGGAAGAATAAGAAGAAAAAAATAAAAGAAAGGAGTTTCCAACTGATACATGAAGTTTAAGTTATAAATATCATATTCTCTCATAGTTTAAGCTCCTTCAGTTTGAAATTATTAATTTGATAATTAAGACCTTGTTTACAGGATAGTTATGCATATATTAATATTAATATCTGGTAATTGAGGGCAATATTATAAAAAACCCAGTATTTAAATAATTTCCTCATGAGTTCTTTCTGCCCTGTCAAATATGCTTGAAATCTTCTATTAAGAAGTTTTAACATGCACATCTATCTCAAAGATAACTCAGACACAAACAAATAAATAAACAAGGAAGATTAGATAAAGACCGAGTTCTTAAGTATGATTCATAAATATATCAAATAATTTGCATGGTACATACATTTCCTTAATAAAGAGAATGATATTGTTTGTTTTCTCCTCTCCTAAAATGCAAAATGTGAATTTCTCTCAGACACTTATAATGGCAAATATATATCCATAAATAATGTCCTCATGTAAGTCGTCAAATACAAAAAGGCAACTCCTACCTCCATCTCCAGATCCGGATCCTGCATCTGCAAAAAGAAAAAGAAATACTTTGTTTTTGCTTGAAAAACATATTCAAAAACTATTCGTAACTGTTTTTTTAGTTCATAATTATTTTCTTCATTGAGACAATAAGATAATTGAGAAAATTACTAATATTTAATCTAAAATATGTATTGATATCAATTTAATTTACATAGCATTACTTATAAAATAAATTCTCTATTATTTTCATATTTAAACTTTATGAAGAGTCATCTAGCTTTAAAATAATTCCTAACTTGATTATGTAAAATCTTTCATATTTTTATTTTAATCAGAATAAATTTGGTTCTAGTAACAAAAGAAATTGAAAATAAGATGCTTATAACAATCAGTGAGATTTAGAAATTAAACAGTCTAAGACATGCAACAAATAAACTCATAATTAAGGCTTACATTCTTGTAAATCGCACATGCACAAAGAGAAAAACAGTTTAAAAATAAACATCTTTTTATAACTGTTAATATATTTTTCAAATACCACAATTGTGGATAAATGTATCTACCACCAAAAGCATCTTTTGTTTTTGAAACCAGTAGAAGAGTGAGATTTGCTTTGTCTTTGTGCTTTAAATTGAATATACCCTAGGTGATGGTGGCAGAATAAAAAAAAAAAAAAAAAACAATAATCTCCCTTCTGCATTTCTCTTTCTCCATTTTCTCTCTCCCCTCCCTCCTACATAATTACAACTGGTCAGAGATGTTTATTTCTGAGAACTCAGTACCCAGAAATATCCAGTTTTCTAGCTGGAGTCAAGCCCATTAAGTTTCCATCTGCTTCCACCTGTTAAGTGTAGACATCATCTTCCCTCTACCTCCCCACTCCTTTGCATTCTAAATACATATGGTTCTATATTATCTACCTTATCCTGAGAAATAAGACTAATACTGGTTTTCTCTGTCTGCTATGCCTTCGTGTCACACTGAAAGCTAACCAGGGTTCAAGAATTGTATCGACTGTCACTTCTGTAAACTTGTGTTTGATGTTTTAGTCCAATTAAAATAAAACATTACTTCTACTTGTTTGCCACCATGACACTTAATTGAGTGGTACTGCATAGAAAGAGGCATGGTATATGAAAATCCACAGAAGCCTGGCACATGTGGAAGAATCGATTATTCTCCAATAGTCTCCCTTGTCATCATGTTAGGCATTAGCACTGCCATGAAGGAGCGGTGGTTTGAATTACAAGCCTTGGCAGAGACTCATATTTACTAAATTCACAGGATTAACACGGTATTAAGTAAGAATATCAAGTCTTTTATTAATTGCTAATATGAGTAAGGCTTACGTCTCTGGGCCATTATATCCTTTCCTTAAAGATAAGCTAATTGGTAAAACAATTTATAATAAAAACCTTCTTAGTAAATGTAGAATAAAATAAAGATTTTAATCATATGACCTGACTATTTAATGATAACAGATCAAGGAAAGCCAATGCACTCATCTCCATAATAGGAGAACAGTCCTTCAACTGAACTGAAAATCACGCCTTGGCACCATTACTTTTGGAAAGGGCAGTGCTCGAATAGTCAATGTATCAAGTCTCCTTTTTGTATACCTTCACGGCTAAAATGTTGACTGACTTTATTTGAATTAACTTGAAAGTTTTATTCAGTATTACTTACAATGATTAGGTGCTAATAACAGGTTGTACTATTATAACACTAATATATTCTACCTGTGCTTTAGTTGAATGCATATAGTTTCTTTTTCCTTTCTCACTTAAAGACTGTAAACTTTTTTAAAATCAAGGTCCATGTCTAGTTCAGCTTTCTATACTTACATGCATATTAGAGGAAATGCATAAAAGGTTAAAGATGCCAACCTTCAAACATTAAATCATTACTCACTGGATGACGACATTAGGAATGTTATTCAGTCTTCCTAAGCTTATCCGTCTTCTATTCAATGGGTATAGTAACGTCTATTTCATTGAACTATTTTGAAGCTTACTGCACACTAACATATTTTCAATGCTTAAACCTTTGTCTGGAACATAATAAATAAAATTTTGAGTGAACATCTTGCCTATTATTCATAGGTTTCGAATAAAAAGATATGGCTAGGGAAAATCAAGAAAGTGGCAGTAGTATTCAGTTTGTGTTCCCATGTATGTTTCTAAAAATTCATGCAGCATGGTTCTTAAGTAAATTTGTGTTTGATTTGACCCAGATTAAGTAGCTAGGGAAGAAAGAGAGATAGATTGAAAAAACAGTCACTTAATTCCATGGCATCATTATGAAAAAGTAATGGAAAGCTCTAATGATTTCTACTATAAATGAGCCACCCTGGCAAAACAGAGGTAAGTAACATACAAAAATCTTATTAATGAGACAGAAACACCTAAGAAAACAAGTCATGTTATTGGACCTGAATCTGGGTTCGTCGTCAATGCATTTCTTATAAGGCAAAAAAAAAAAAAAGAAGTTGACAGTGAGGTTTTTGACCAGACTGCCCAATAGAAAATGATTTTTGGACAAAAAAAATATGTTTCAGTTCAATTAAATAAAAATATAAAGCTGTATCTTCTATTGCTTTTTCTTCCTGAAGATCACAACTTGCCACCTCCACTCAGTGTCAAACAGCATTAAAAAAATAAGTGGAAAATATATGAAGAAAAGAAGAAGAATCTTTTTTAGATCAGAAGTCAGAGCTCCAATTTATTTACAGTCAGACCTGGTTAATCAAAATTACTTTGGTCCCTCCATCATTATTCAGGCCAAAAACCTTTTAGATTTACAAGTCAATGGAAGATGCATTCAGTACTGGCTTAGTAATTAAATCCTGAAGAAATTTAAATCTGTGAATGAGCTAGGGATGGATTACTCAATTGTGATTAAATTTTCTACTTGGTTAAGTATTTCTTTTTATACTATCACCAACACATTAGGGACTGGAATGGAAAAATCTGAATGAATCAGAAAAATGCAATTGTATGTGCTGACAAGAACTTTGAGGTTGACAAGAAAGAGAGATTTTGCTACCAAACATTTTTAGCCATAATTATAACTTCATGACTGCTTATGAGTACTGCCCACTGATTCTCACTTGGCTATTGTTAGAGATAGACAGATATCCTATATGAATAGGCAAATCCTTTTCTTTGTTGTCTCTGGTATTTGCCCACATCATTCCTGGTTTCCATGAGTCAGAGGTTCTTTTCTTTCTTTCTTTTTTTTTTTTCTATTCCATTTGTCCTAATGTGTCATTTTTCATTTTTTGTTCATTAGATATGGTAGATTGAACTTTTGTAATTAAATTGCTCACTGTCTTTCTATTTTCCCCATCCTTACTATGAGAGTAGCAGGCTGGTCTTCCTCCTTTCCTACTGGGAAAAATGGTGCAATAACTCACTTCCTACTGTCACTTTCACTTATTACTTCTCACTCACAGATCAAGCAACAATGATCTGTTTGTTCTGTCAAATAAGAAGCAAGTGGAGAACCAGTCCAGCTTGTCTTATGATCACCCTTCCAGAAAGGACATTCACAACATCATGAAAAAAACCATGTAGGAGCAAAAAGCTACTTAAAAACTAAAACCAAAGCCAGAAAGCCTGCATCGTTGTCCATAAAGAATAAATAGACATGACTAGGGAAACCATTTCCTCTACCTCTCTTCTGCTAATTCTTAGAAACTTTGGTAGTCACAACTTGGAACATTATCAATTACTTACAATCAAAGGCATAAGATAATCTTATGAAAAATATGAGACTTTCTCTGTGCTCTTTTACCACTCTGTCTTAGGCATGATTCACATCAACTTTTAACATAATTTCTTAGAATAGAAATACCTGTTATCTAAGAGGTACTTTTCAATAAAACAGATTTTCCCTATTCTTTATTTCTATTTTTGAAGGAAGTTTATATTTTATATCATCATTATTTTTCCCGAATATGCTTATATCATCCAATTCCTCTGAAATTATGATTTTCCAGAAAGATACTATTTGCCATTAAGGACAACTATCATGAGACACTAAAGTTTCTTTAATATATGTGATTTTAATGTCTCATGCCTAACCTGAAAACTTGGTTTCATTTTAAAGCACTGCTTTATCAAGTTAGGCTTTGTTCATCTTGTTTTTTGTTTGTTTGATTGTTTTTTCTGCTTGTAATGCTCTTTAGCTCTGACAACCACCGTACACAAAAGCGAAACCTGAAAAGCTAAAGAGCTTTTCCCTTACTTTTCCGCATATTATTCTTTGTTCAATGCAACTAATATAATTAAAAAGCTTTGTGGAATCCCAGACCGACTGTCAGAAAGCGCAGATGTCATTAGAAGGTGCAGCAAAAAACATTCTTCAAAATAATCTACTAAATGGTAAGGAGCATTTTGTAAAGCTGCTAAGGTTAGCCACCTCTTGACTTTCAAACCCAAATATGCAAGGCTGCCCTTTAACAGACAATGTTACTGTTCAAAATAAACACACAAACAAACTGTATCCATGCATAGATAGGTTTCTATATATTTGACACCTGGATGGTTAATCTAGAGATCTAATTATATTATTCAACTGCCTGCACTTCATTAAGTAACATATATATTAAAATCTACCAATATCCTTATGGTAGATTTTCTCTTTTCCAGAAGTGATTTGAAATGCAAAAAGACATAGAATAAGAATAATGCATGCTTTGTACAAAAGAATAAGAGGCTTGTCTAGCTAATAGTTTGAATTATTTATTTGGCGATAACAGGAGAAGCAAGACATGGTTTTTAGATTCAGACCCCACTCAGAAGGTTTCAGAGAGTCTTCAAGATCACATACACACCTGTGGCACATGATCCTTCAGACACCACAAGTATCTCACTCTGATGTTTGCAGGCAGCCTGCCGCAGGTAACACTCATTCTGGTAGCTCTCTCCATTGGAACCACACACAGGCACGTAGTCATTGTTGCACTGGGGAACACACAGATGTAAGCCTTTGGTTAGTACTGGAGTCTGCAAATCTCTGAGTTCTTGAACAGAACTAATCATTTACAAAAAAAAAGCACGGGTCTTTGTTTTCGGTGATCCTCACTGTATTCATTAAGTCTTTGACTCTGCAAGGGCATCATTAAAAAATGTACAAAAGCAATGTCAAGTCAGCCAACCAGTCATTCAGATGGAGGGAAAAAGCTAAATTGATCAGGCGATTTCAACAAAGTGATCAAACAAGCAATACTAAAAGAAATAGCAACAAATATATCAGTATTACTTAATACTGTTTTTCTGATATATGGCCCATCTGGCTTGGAGGGAAAAAATTAAACCATGCTATAGTATTCAAGTTATTCAGAAACAGGTAATGTTTATCTGCGTTTGGAGAGCAGAAGTATATAGCTGAAATGCCAGAAAACTCAGTTACTTCTTTGCATGTTTTTTTGCTGTTGAATTTTAATCTTTACAAATTTCTGAATACTTGGATAAGACATTTGGATTACTAATTAGTTTTCCTTATATCTTTAGATAATGAGATATTGATAAAGATACAGTGTAGAAAGAAACAGACTAGAAAACGGGGAAAAATCAACCACTGAACCATATGTAAACTTCATTGATTATTCAGAAGTATTACTGTTAACATATTTTATAAAGAGAAAAATTCATTTTAAAACCTCATTACAAAAAAGTATGAAAATTAGGCAACCTGCAGGGTATGCTCATCATAATATAATCACGGTCTAAGGCATTAGAGATACTTGGCTGTGTCCTATACCTGTTAATTATGCCAGAGTTATGATTATCTCATGATTACTACTACAGATGCACTTCATTGTTTAGTTATAAGAAATGTAATGATGAAGATGATTATTTATAAATACTCACCTATGCCAGAAACTAAGTAGAGCAAATCATATATACACATGTATGTGAAATAATTTTCTGTCTTATTAAAATACTTGAATTTTTGATGTGTTGTAAATTCATAACACATATAAAATAAACCAATGATCTAGTGAGGTGTCTAGGAGAGTTTTAATATATATGATAATAAACTAAAGCTCTATCATAAGTTAAATTTGACTCAAGATTTAAGCAACAAAAGAGGAAATTCTCAGTAAGGTTATAATCTGATGATATAAACCTGAAATTTATTTTTTCATTCTATTTTCTTACAGTATCTATACTTTCTTCTTTCCAATCAACCATTTAACTCTTGTTCTTTGCCTTTATGTAATAATGGCTTAATCATCCTAACAATTTATAAATGGTATAAGTCAATGGTCTCTGAAATGAAAGTCATTTTACGAGCCCTACTTTGCATCTATTAATGAAAAACTAAAATATAGTTTTACTTATAATGATGTACTTTTCTCTCAATAGTAAATCTAAACTCTATGACACTAGTATTATGATCACCATAACTGCTAACATGAGGATTTAGATATTAAATCATATCTATTTAGAAATTATTTAAATATGATTAAAATACTTAAATATTTTAAATAATATATTTTAGAAATTTTCTTTATTTCTACAATTTCGAATTCAGATGTTCTTGAAGTTCTCTATACAATAATTCTTTTCAATAGTTATACTATATTTTAAAAAGTGTCTTGATTGGAGCTTTTCATTAATGAGGATTCTTTAACTCAATAGGCAATTCACTTCTGATCAGGGGATACCTGTGTAAGGGCAGCCTTCCACATGATTTCCATATTCATATATATGAAAATTCATAGATAAATATAGATATAGATGTAGGTGTAGGTGTAGATATAAATATAGATGTGGATATAGATTAGATATAGATGATACAGATATAGAAATATAGATTTTTTTAACTTACATCTGAAAATTGACCTACCATAGGACCAAACATCTTCATGATTACTGAAGAAAAAAAGCAATAGTAAAATGACAGTAAGAGCTGAATTTTCCAATGAGCAGTGCTAAGGAGACATCAGATAAATGGGGCTGGTACTCATGTCAGAATCATGGCCAGGGAGGCAGGTGATAGGTGCTTGACAAATGTGCTATGTTCAAGTTCAGGGATAAGAGAATGTAGGGATGATTTATGAGGACCCACTAACACTAAATTGGTATCTGAGCACATGGAGGAGAGCCCATAAAGAAGTAAACAGTTGGTAACATATTATAGTCAGTAGACTTGCTAACCCTTTCAGTAGTCGTAATTAGTATGGATGACTCGACTGGTTAACTTCTCATGCTTGGGTCCTAGCATTCTTATCTCTGGTTACCTTTTAATTTCAGTCTCCAACCCTGGTTATAATACTTTGTGTGTAGATTATTTGGGTCCACATTTTCTTCACTCTGATTCCTAGAATTGTTCTATTTATCCTTCTCATCCACTTTTGCAGATTACTCAGATGTAGTCAGTGGATGGGGAATGAGGAGTGGGAAGTATTTATTATCTCTGTCAAGTGCTAGTACACAATGCTGAAATGCATCTTAAAATATCAAATAAACTGATAAAGTGCTCATATGCCATTTCTGAAGGATGCAGTAAGCCAAATGTGAACAGTGCTAAAAACAGAGCTGCCAAGTTCCATACAAGCCAAAAGGGAGATTTGTATGGAGCTGAAGAGCTTAACTGTAGATTATCAGCACGACATTTTTGGCCCTTAGTACCATGACTTGCACTCATTAATATGAATAACACACAGAGGAAGCATGCTCTAAATCATTAAGGCTCAAGAGTGGAGGAAGTCTGATCTTAGGTTTTCCCATTTCTCTCACTGCCTTGGTGTAGGATCTTATGCGTATCACTCAACAACTAAATATAACAACTATAAATATAGCTCATTTCTCTACTTGAAATGGTTAACTGGGGCATTTGGGAGGATTAAGAGAATAATGTTTTTAAAATACTTTGCAATATTCATTTATTTAAAAAATATAAATTATTTGCCTTTCATGATATTTATTTTAACTAGCAGAGTCACCATCTAACATTGACACTAAAACATGCATGTCTAAAATTAGAAAAATAAAGTAAAACAGGATAACATTAGCATGGAAATAGGCTAACTACTACATTAAAATGTACCAAATTGTTGAAAATAGTTTTTAGTGGTAATCATGATACTGCTCAGTTTCAGATCAAGTGACATATTCAGATGTTAACTGACTTGCTGAAGGCCACAGAGTTGGCTGGTAAGAGAAAAAACAACACTAACACCCAGATGGTTAGGCCCATAAATGTATGTGTTGTATAAACTTCCTCTCAGGGAAAAGTGATTCTATTTTTCTTAAGATGTTTTAAAAATCTTAATTTTATTTTCCAAATGTGTGTTTTTCAGTAGAATAATTTTGTTCAAAAAAGTCCACATTGCTTAAGAAAGCAACTACATGCCACATGGTCATCAGTGACTTGACATTCTAGAATAAATGGAATTAATTTTGCTTTAAATGAACAAAAAATATTTATGTGAGAAGTTTTTCATATGATTTATTGCTTGTTTGGTTAATAAGGATTTCATTTCGCTGAGATTTCAGCATCCAGAAGCTATACATAACTTTTATATATTGTCGGCACCTTCTCTAGAGTCTGGCACATATAAGGTGCTCCACAGATGTTAAGTGAATTCTGCTATATTCCCAGTTGTCAAAGGCTTAGGAATAATGGCTTAGAATATGGTATGTTTCTCTTCCAAAAAAAGAAAAAGATAAAAAACCTGCATATTTCCCAATCTTTTGATCATTCTATAGGTAACTTTTACTTCTTATGACTACATTTCTTTATATGGAAAAAGTTTTCTATTTTGAGTGGGCCATGACTATGGTAAATGTAATTCTGTGACTTTCGTGACTGGATCATGAAAGGATATAGTCTCTACCTGGCTCTTTCTCTTTGGATGCTTGCCCTTGAAACAGTCACTGTGCTATGAAGAAGCCCAAACAAGCCCATACAGAGAGATCCACATGGAGGACCAAAGTTTCCAGCTGACAGTCAGACATAAGAGTAAGAACCCTGAGATGAGTACAGAACCAAACCTTTGAGTTCCCTCCCCCACCTCAGCTAATGCCAAGCGGAGCAGAGATGAGCTGTTCCATTAATCCATGTACAATTACAGATTCATGAGCAAAATAATGTTCATTGTTTCGAGCCACCAAGTTCTGGACAATTTGTTATGCAGTCCCAGTTACTGGAACAAATGCAAACTAAAGCATGGCTTTTTAAATAAAAACATTTATTATTTGAACCAAATGATACCCAAAGCACATAAAGCTTCATCATATTTTCAAATTATAAATTGATAATTATTGTATGGCTAGTGCCATCTACAAATAACTACATGTCTCCTTTCTTTCCTTCCTGCCTTCCTCCTTTCATACATCCATTCATTCATCCATCTATCCATTCATCCACCTTCATTAACTGCCTCTAAATTTTCATCCCCGCAAATGATTTACCAGATTGACCACATACCATTTGGTATACAGATTGGAAAGTAGAGTGCATGAGGTTGCAGGCCATTTCTGGAACTCATATCATCATCAACTAAGAACTAGTTGTACTAGTTTTTTGATATTAAGAGTTCTCCACCATAAATTTGTACTTTTGTAGTTATTAGTGATGTTTTTATTTGCCTGTCAAAGGACCTAGATTTGGTGTCAAAGGACCTAGATTCTTGCTTTGGGATCACCACTTAATAGTAAGTTACTTATATTTACAGGCCTTAATTTCATCATCTTTAAAAGCAGAAAAAAATCATTATCTCACTGTTGTGAGAAATGAGATAGTCATGGTTTCAGTTACCAGCAGTCAACAGCAGTTCAAAAATTAATAAACTGAAAATTCCAGAAATAAACAATTCATAATTTTTAAATTGTGTGCCTTTCTGAGTAGAGTGATGAAATCTCATGCCAACTTACTCCATCTCACCATCACTCCTTTGTCCAGCAGCCCCATGCTAAGTACACTGCCTATTAGTCACTTAGCCATCTTGGTTATCAGATTGACTGTCCTAGTATTGCTTGTGTTCAAATAACCTTTATTTTACTTAATAATGGCTCCAAAATGCAAGAGCAATGCTGGGAATTCAGGTATGCCAAAGAGAAGCCATAAAGTACTTCCTTTAAGTGAAAAGGTGAATACAGTGCAATAAATATTTTGTGAGAGAGAACACATTAACATAACTTTTATTATAGTATATTGTTATAATTTCTCTATTTTATTATTACTTACTGTTTTTAATCTTTTACTGTGCCTAATTTATAAATTAAACTTTATCAGAGGTATGTATATTCATAGGAAAAGACATAGTATCTATAGGGTTCAGTACTATCCGTGGTTTTAGGCATCCACTGGGGATCTTGAGACTATCTCCTTGAGAATAAGGGGGAACTACTATAATATATTTGAAGGGTAGAATAAGTTTATTTTAAATTATCTAAAAGAGGTGAAGGCAACTACATGTTCATTTTAGTGCTCTAGTAATAATCCAAACTGGAAAAAATTATAGATTATATACACATACACCCATTTCTCTTTGAAATTTGTCTCTCAGCCAGAAGACTCATAGTTTGCATCCTATTTGAACGAAAGAATTATGACCTCAGGTTGTTTAAACTAGTCTATAGGAAAATAGAATTTCAGGACCTCTCTTTTTTCATCAGATAACAGGGAATTAAAAAAAAAAAAACAACTCGAATTCATTGAAACATATTAGAAAGGATCGAATCAAGAAATTCTTAGCCTAAAGTATCCCATTATTCTTCTACAACTTGTACATTTTCTTTGATCTTTAACCTAATTCAGCCACTCTAGGTTTTTTGTATGTACAGAGTACAAATTTTCCACTAGGGAAATGTTTATTTTCTCCCGATAGACTGACCTATTGCAAAGCACAAACTAATAGCACTAGTAATCTAGTAATAAACTTAAAATGTTACTTAAAATACTTTTTAAGAAAAAAAAATTACATTTTAGTTTCTTATTCAAAATTGCAGTCATTGCTCCCCCATCTATTACACTCAACAATTATTTAAATTAATGACAAATGTGACTTGTTGACTAACCCATGAAAAACACAAATATCTTTGTTGATAAAAGTTTTACTAAAATCCTTTGTGGAACCTGAAAATTGAACACCATTCTTTTAACAAGAAAATTATGCATTTCCTTTTAAGTAACATGCATTCATTTAGAATTTTGTGAATTTCTTTTTTATTCTCTATTGGCAAAATCTTGTTAGGATTATGGCTTCCAATTTGAAGAACAATCTTCTTGATTCATTTTACACTTTATTAGTTTACTTCTTATGTCTACCCTTGGTTATGAAAATAAGAGAAATATACGGCAATCGCAAATTGAAAGGGGAAAAATCCACAATATCCTCTGGGAGTTTACTTAATGATTTATCCAACTGTATTTTCCCTTTTAACATTTGAGGAAAGTATGAATCAAAGAGTTCTCATGCTCCATCTCTCTCATGACGTTCACTGAAAGAACATAATTACATTGTTTAGTGTTGTTGGAGAACTTAGAGGTTGGTGTCACATGCATATTAAATATGAAAGACTATGTTTCTAACACTATAGAATGGTCTAAAAGACCATAGTATGATCATAGCAATACTTACCCACCAGGAGATGGTACATTTTACAAGTGTCAGTTGTTTTATTGCTTTTCTTAGAAAGAAAATAATGGTCAAGAAGTTTTTAGCTTATCTGTAAGCCAGTGGAGCTATCTTTAAATGTGAATTATCTCTCTCACTGGAAATTTAATTCAATCTGAAATATTTAAATTTCATCAATAACTCTAAATATCACATACTGTAACAAATACTTAGACCTGAATTTGAGTTCGTTTTCATTTGTTCTACAGCCTTTAAAAAAATTTTTTTTTAGTTTTGCTTATAATCTTAGAAAAGTTTTCCCTGATCTCATATTAGATTTCATGTATATTTAAAAAAGTAATTCAGTAACACTCAAAAGTGAATATAAGACATTGGTAGGACATCTATTATATTTGAAGATATATATGGTCATATAAACATTTTGATAGAAATGAAGGTTTATAATTTACATGGTAGAAAGCATGTGTTAGATGATAATAACAATGACATTTAAGTGTTTTATCTTCAATAGTTAATAAAGGTCTAGTTCTGAGGATAAAAGTCCTACAATCTCTCTTTTTATTTATATTTTTTAAATGAGGCAAAGTGCATCTTTCTTATATTTATGAAATGACTTGTGGCTATTTGTGCTCTTTTGGATTTCTCAGAGATTCAGGTATAATTGAATGTGGCACCCATGAAATGTTCACATATTTTAACAAATTATGTGATTTCCAAAACTAGCACAGTAGTTTTGAACTCACATTAAAAAGTTCATTTAAAAACTTAAACAGATTACTAGGATAATAAAACCCAACACCATTAAAACAGAGAGCAATATGATCAAAAGATAGCCCCAATCAAAAAGAACAAAAGTAGAGATCCACTTTTTATCCACCAACAGTTGACTATTCTCCCCAGTAGTTGACTTCTAAAATGCATGTCAGAAGAGACAAAGAAACATAATTTTCCTTTGACACACCAAAGGAACAACCTGAAAGTTTCTATCTCAATGACATTTGTAACTGTGGCATATGCATTTCTCCAAAAAGCTATGCCTTGACATCAGTTGGCTCTCTCACCAATACTCTGCTTGGTGCCAGCTTTCATCTTAGCTTGTATAGTTATAAATTGCCAAGTGATTATAAAGGGTTATAAAGAGAAATCTTTGCTTTATAGTCTAGTTAATAAATTAGAAGATGTAAATATCAGACTTCTTACCTTGAACTGACAGACGCAAGTCACAGTGTCTCCAATTCTTAAACATTCCCCATCAAATTTACAGGTGTTGGTGTCACAAAGGAAGAGATCATTTTCTCTGTCATCATAACCTCAAATTTAAAGAGAACGCTCCAGTCATTAAAAAGTGTTATACATTTTATTTTTTTTTAAGTAGTATCTTTAAGCTTTAAAAGAATTATCCTAAATTTTAATTCCAACAACCACAGCTGTATTACAAGGTCATTCTCTACTGATAACCTAAAATATCTAGTTAAGCGATCAATATTTGTTTCTTTTTTTTCACGGTTCCTTTCTAGTCAATTCTCTTTCAATATCCTTTTTTGATGGTGCTATTTTCTTTTAGCTTTGGTTAATACTGGTAGTACTGAATGAATGCTTAACACTTGCTTCCTAGCTTCCTTATTTTTCCTCGAAAAGTGGACTATAGTTTATGACCCCCAAACTCCACATTTTAGAAAAGAGCTGGTGATGGTCTCCAGATGCATTTTATCATTTCTCCATCTTTAATCATTATTTTGCTTTACAGTGTGAAATAAACCCTTATTTGGAATTTCTCCAGACAAAGGGGAAACAAAGCCCCAATAATAAAGATAAACAGGCACAGTGTTTTCTGTGATGGTCTGTCTGTCTCAAATGAAGATTGATCACCTCTGAGTTAACAGGGTGGGGGTGGGATGCCAGGTTCTTGACAATCTGCTTGGAAAACCAGTTCATTCTCTTTAGTTTCTTCAGATCCCATGAAGATATCTGGCTAATAATAAATTTCTTCACTGCCAACCTTAATTTCACATTTAAGTTAGTTATTTCCCAAAACAATACTATAGTTAGGGATGAAGGAAACCAGTCATGTTGGGCTACAAAGCTATCAACATTTCAAACAAGTGATTTTGCAGGTTTGTAATATTCCTATGATAAAGCACCTAAAAAGTGATTAGGAACCTGCAAAGTAGAAATTAGTCTTTCTGAAAAAATATACATGCATGCATGAACCATGAGTAAGTTACCAAAAGCATTTTGACTTTTATAAAAATACCAAATTTAGAAATTGTCACAAACAGAACAAAGGCAATTTATTGACCCAAATCTAATAGGGTTGCAAATCGTGAACTTGTATTTAAAAAGAACAACTACAATGATGTATAATAATTTTCCTCGTGGAATGTACATCACTAACAACCCAGGATTGCATATCTTTTTCATCCTATAAGTTAGTTGGTCATTACCTCCTCTCCAAAGTTACATACCCTTGAGCTCACATACATCTCTTGAAAGCCACTTAATTTAGAGCCAGATTTAACTACAGCAGGATTATATTTACAGAAAATGAAAAATTATATACACATTTGCTAAAACTAGAACAGAACAGAGCTAGGGGACAATACCCAGGCGTGTTAATGGAGTTTAAAATGCCAATGAAACCACACCACAATCCAGCCCTGTATACTAAAGGCTGTCATAATGAAATGCGAAGCCACCTCAGAGTGCAGTAACTCTCATCCGCCGGCCCTATTTTATGAGGAGCCTTCAGCAGAGCAAAGCCTGCCAAGCTCTGGCGTTCAGACTCTGAAGGGACCCAAGAGAACAAGAAGAGTGACCGATCCACTCCAAGGAAGTCTGCCCAGAAATGGAGGAGTCAGCGCCCAATGGGATCGGTTCAGTTCTTTGCCCGGTTGCGCGTGAGCCTGGCCGGCCTTGATCATGCCTACCCCGGGTTGGGAGACTTACGAATGATTCTTTTCTTAACTTCCCTCTACCATCTAGGAGCTTGGGGAGACGAGAGAGAGGTATCTGTAGACTGTCAAAACAACGTCTTTTGCAGTCAAGGAGAGACGGAGGATGAGACAGAGAGAGAGAGAGACAGAGAGACAGAGACAGAGACAGAGACAGAGAGAATTTTGAATCTCTTGAAACCCAAGCTCCTTTAGAATCAGTGTAACCTGGTCTTGAATGCAAGACCAGTGTACCCTCATTGCACTTTTGCCAGGAATCAGTGTTTCTCTTCAGTCCCCATTTGATTTATTGCTTTTTCATTCGTTCTTTCTCATAAAGTTATTTCTAGCTCGTTCTAGCTAGACTTTTTTTCTTTATGATGGAGAAGGTTCCGTTTTAGTGTTTTCCCAAGGACTGGTGCTCTTTTCAGTGAATCCACAAAACCAACTCGCTTAATATTTCTCAAAATCTTCGCAGTCCCAATTTAAGTGCAAGGATGCAAACGTCTACACCTGCACTTTCTGCCCACCCCAGACCCCACCCACCC